TCAAGAGTCTTCTGCTACATCAAATTTCAAAAGCATCAATACTAGCTGCATCATGGTATCTGAATACCTTCTCCAAGGTTTGTATTGCTACCCTACCAGGGGCTAATCTGCAGTGTACGTGGTTCAATATTCATGAGTCTCATGATCAAATCCCAAGCTACACGCCAAAATGGCCCAAAGATTTCTTACAGCCCACACTCCTTGAAATAAGACATCTTTTCTCTATGTTGCTCCAAGAACATTCCAGGAACTGTAATGGGAAGAAATAATAACTTTCAAGAAAAGCCCAGGTGGGATAATATTCTAGTAAATTTTCATCCCACATATTGATGGCTGCTAACATATGAGCCCTGGGGATATTTCAGCAAGTCCAATAAACTGAAGCTCCCTCACTTCAAATGGTAGTTCAATTTAGCTAATGACAACCCTGGTGTGATGGACTGGAATGGTGGGAGGGGAGTTAAGAATGTACTCTTGTCTCCAGAGGAGCACGGAAGAGATAAGCGCAGGAGACTGGCACCTCCCTAAGAAATTCCATCGGTGTGAACTGGCTGAGCCTGGGAACTGGTTTCATTCTGGGAAGATTCTTGTTAAGGGGTTGTAGCTAATAAACCTTGCTGGTTTCATTCTGCAGGATCTCCTGGAGTTCCTTGGGCTAGGCCCGACAGAATCACAGATAACCACTCAAAGAATCAATTACAGGTAAGAAACTTGTTCTTCAGTATGATCCCTATACATCACACATAAGGATGAATGTAAGCTTTCTTATAAGATGGATGGTTAGGACAGCTCTAGTTAGGACAGCAAAGAAGATAGTACAGCTTTACTAAACATAGCATGTGCCTGAGCTCACAGATTCATGCAATAAGGCTTCAGAAATATGAGCAGTGGAGACCAGCCCCATAGAGAAGTGGAAAATCTGACGGAAAAGACTTCAAAGACAGAGAAAGTAGTAACAGAACAATCCCAGAGACAAGTAGGAGCAGGGCACTGGACCAGCTGGTAACACAATATAACACATTAATTCAAACTGAAAAATTCTAAAGACAAATTGGATGCTCCTTTTTTGGATCCTCAAAGAAGAGAAACTGTTGAGAGAAAGAGTGAAACAGCTCTTTCCTATCTATATTTAGATGGTAGTCTCATTCAGACACTGAAGGAGTGTTCCAGGTACAAAGATGACAAAATGAAAAATGTACACAATAGCAAAGGTTTATTATGGTGAAAATCAAAATTCACCTTTGGGAGAAAGGTAGATTCAGGACATAAAATGATTGTCCTGGATTGTCTGATCCATCCTGAAGGAACATTTCAGTAGCTTTATGTGTTGGAATTATCACCTTCAGAAAGGCCACCTCAAGACTGAGTACACTATTCATGATAGTCAAACATTTAAAGGATTTCCTCATACATAGAGTAGTGGATATAAGAAAAAATGAATTGTCATCAGCAAGGGAATGCATAGCTGATATCTGTTAAGTATACTTTTAAAAAAGAGAAGGTGAAATATTTTAATTTGAAGATGAGTGAGTCTAAAAAGCCAATCACCTTAATCTGTCTTCCACAAAGTTATCTGTGACACAGGCTATAACAGAAGTTCTATTACTACATAACTAGTTAGTAAATGTCTGAACAAAGGAAGGAATTAAATATATGGTTCCCATTCACCCCCACCAAAAAAGTGTAGGCAAGGTAGTCACCTTATCACTCCAAATGATGATCTGGAGGCTATGGGCAAACCTCAGTAAGGCTCAGTGCCAAACATCTGGGAAATACCACTCCAAAAATAAGAATTCTCAGCCATGCTCACAGAGAAAATTCACAATTATACAACCACTGCAGCAATTGAAAAAGGCACTGAGTTGAGAGAAGGACTATAGTTTAGGTACCAGCATGGAAATGCTGTATTTCAGGGGCATGAGTTGCATTCCTCATGCTGATCAATTTCAAAAAGGTGAGTTAAACACAGGGCAGTGGCACCTCAAATAATATTTGATTTTTAAAAGGAAGTAAAACTTAAAAAAAAAACAACCCTCAAGAAGTTAACTGCCAGATAGAAAGGTTTACATCTTCAAACCAATGAGCCATAAATAAGAAATCTATCCAAGATGACTATTTCACATTAACCAATGCTCTTCTTAATATCATATAAATAGGAAGCACTTTTTTTAGAAATCCTCTTACAGACTGCACATTTAAATAAATTATCCCTGCAATAGTCAATACTTGTCTATAAATATTATTTCTGATTTTGTTTAAGGAAATATGCTCAAACACATGTAACTTCAATAAATAATCAAGTAAAAAGGAAAAATATTTTATTTAGAAGCTTACATAGCTATTTTAGGTATGGATATGAAAATAGTTTGTTTATAAAATGTACCTAAATTAAATCTGGGGTTCTAATTATGAGTTTTTGGCCAGGTTTTAAAAGCTTTCCATCAGGTATTCAGGTCAACAAGGCTTACCTCCTACCAAGTTTTCTACCATATTTTGCCCACATATCCATGATTCTCGTCATGCATTAAACAACCTGGTGCTTCAACCTTTTTTTTTTTGGCCAGACTTGGCCAAATGTCTCCTGACATTGGATTTTGGCATGCAATCAGCTGTTAAACAAGCACAGCTCTTATCCTCACAGAATGCCCATGCCATGAACAGCTGTACCAACTGAATTTCTGCCTAGCATGTAGCTATTTAAAGACTCAAAGTCACAGGGAAGAAAATTTCAAAACCCTACATCCAGAGGAAAAAAGTACATCAACTATATTGCATAGACGTTTCAGCTGATGTGGATGAAAAGCTCACAAGCTATAATAAGTAAAAATAACAACAACCTAGCATATACAAAAACCTACAATTTAAAGAATAGCAGCAGATCATTATGCACTAAAACATATATATTTAACTTCCTATCCAATATTTACTTTTTTCTAGAATACTGTGTGGAAGAAGAGTATATTTTTAGGAACTAATTCAACCAAAAGCAAATTCTAACTGCTGGTCATGAACATAAGAAATGCCATCCTAGAGGAATCCAAAGGACTATTTAGTCCAATGCTCTCTTCCCACTTTGATCAAGCAGGACATTGAGGCAACAACACCCTCTTGGTCATGTTCTACACCATCTAATATTCACAGGCTTTCT